CTCGCATCGAAGAATACCAGAACATTTCCAAGACCATCTTTTAACCCGACACTGAAGAAAAGGTGAAAAGACTGCTCGTTTTAAGCCGCTTGCTTGACGTTTATTATACTGTATCTACTAAGCAGTTAGCAAGTAGTTCGGAAGTGGTTGGTAAGTAGTTATATACTAACATCACTAATTAGAGCGCTGACTTCAGTATTTGAAAGTCCATGTGATGGAACTACATATGTATATCCACATAGTGCAGTTTTTGGATACTCAGGAAGATCATCAATATACTCTATAAACTGAGTAGTTAAAGGTGATGCCTTTGCCTGAGTCAGAAAGGTTAATGGTGACGGTTCCTAGATATAAATTAATTTCTAAGTACTTGATAACTACTTAGGAAATTACCTGGGTTGAGTATTCCTCTTCCGTAGAACTAAGTTCAATAACTTCATGAAAATCCATGTCTAGAAAGTACTTGGTAGGTACTTATAAAGTACTTGGTAAGTGCTTGAAATAAAGTGTGTAATGAACTTGGAGAAATATAAGAGGAAGTTGAATTTCAATAATAAAAAACAGTAATTTATAGGGTCGTGTGGAACGTTCCTGCTTATATAAAGGGCTTGGCATCACGTGCCGCGGGAACGTTCCACGTGTACACAAAGAAAAGTTCATGTGAACTGTGTTCACGGAGGGGTGAAAGCGTTCTGGTTATTGCTGGCTGACTGTCTATAATCCATCTCCACTGACCCTAGGTCCCTAACTCTCCCTCTGGCCATGCATCTCCGAGAGAAACCCCCTCAAACCCGCACAAGCCAATCATCAGCACCGAGAAAGACAACCCAGTGCTCGGGGTCATTTCCCTACCCATCACAGCATCGCCATCGTCATCTAATCCCTGCTCGTTTGCCCCTCTCCCCAGTATCACCAGGACAATGAACCTCAACCCACCACTGGCAGACATCTCGAAGACCCGTACTTTGAAGGGGAAACGACCGTAAAATGATACTATTTAAAAGAGAAAAAAAAACAAGAACAAACCCGAGGACTGTGCTCCACGGGGCCACCTGCCACCTGCCACCTGGCAGACGAGCAGCTGGGCCTCCTACCCAACACGGCCTAGTACCGTGAGTGTACAGTACTATCGACTCTTTCTCCATATGCATTTAGCCTATGATCGTCTGTCCGAATCAACTTATCTCCACTGTGGAGTCACATACTGTACTTAGGAAAGGGCAGTAGACACTATCACTCAAACAGCATACATCACACATCACACATTGCAAGGTACAGTACTTTACCTCTGTAAGTGACCTTCACGGCATTCCGTCGACCTCCGTAAACACGGGACATGGATGCTGGTCTATTTAATACTAGGAGGGGTATGTAGGATCTAACCTCCTAGGTCATCGTTGATATCAGGGCTTCGGAGTCCAGGTTTGACAGCATAGACAACTCAGTACACTCTAGATGATGACCGTCGATCATCTTTTCTTACTAAACCTACATGGGCTTTGAAGGTACCATACATCCAGACATCGACTGGTGTAAAAAGTTGATACATCAACTTTTCCCCGGAAAAGGGTTCCACCCGTCATGGCTCCCAAGAACTTGGAATGGGGCTGAGGGGGGACCACGGGTGGCTGGGAGGCAACCGTACATGAATTCAAGAACTGCCGGGTCGTGTCCAGGGGTCAATCTGATTGACAACAAGCCTTTCATCGAGTACCGGGCTGGTCTTTTTGGTTACGGGTTTTGATTATAGATATGGGCCACCTTGTTGCCGCCTGAGGCATTCATTGCAGAGGGGCCGATAGTCGAGTTCTTAATTGTGCCTTGCTACACTCGGGGTGGTGCGACTGGGAACAGGCTTCCCGCCACAAGGGAGTCTGGATCTAAATCTCAGTTCTGGTAGTTCCCTTCTTGTTTCCCTTGGAGGAGGGATGGCTGTTGTGTCGGACCTGCAGTCAGCAGCAACGCCTAAAGCAAGGTTGACAGCTCTACAGATCCAGTAATTGTGCAACAATCTATCCCGTCCGGAACAACAATATCAATCTCAAGGTCCGCGTCCTCACCAAAGAGACCAGAAGCTCACCAGCAGAACCAGAACCCATCCCCAGCCCAAGAAATTTCAACATCAAAAGCAATAGCGTACCCCGCTAAATATACCATTAAGAAGCGCTTGATATATTAGTTCAAAAGAAAAGAAAGGCTAAAGCCCCACGGCGGAGACCCGAGCCCGAAAGATGATATATACCAACACCTCATCCTCCGCCCCCAGACCGCCAACTCAGTTCTGACTCTGCAGTTTGGCCTCGATCCCCAGGATATCCTCCTCACTCTCCACCTCAATCACACGGTTCACCTCGGCGGTGTTGCGCATCAACTCGACGGCACCCGCATACATCATCCGCAGCGAGGGGTTGCAGTTCTCGGGGAGGTAGTAGAGCATCACATAGGGGACGGTGAGACGGCCGGACGACTAGACAAGAACAGAAGACGCAATGTTAGCGACCCGTGATGAGCTACCACAGCAGAAACCAAGGGTAAGGAGGCAACGAACCAAGGTCAACGGGTAACTGAGAAGGATGAATCGAGGCGACGTCTCGGGAAGCTCGTCGGCGAGATCTTCCATCTTCGTGTAGACTTCACCATCCTCGGGGCGGATTTCCTGGCTCTTGTTGTCGATTATATCTGTCGACCCAACCAGTCAGCACCAACACCTTCGATATAACGCAGCCCATTCCTTCTTCGGCACGCTGCCACAGAAGAACAGGATATGCCTGCATGCCTCATCCTTCACATCGGCGACGGAGGTTTCGAACGAGCGCGGGAAAGGCAATAAAGTAAAACGGAACCCTACAGATAACAGCCTGCGGGTCTTTGGCGCGCGAGGTGCCCAAGCGAAACTTGCGGAGCTTTTCTTTCGTCTCCGGCGAGAAGGAATATAGACGAGATTCGGACTGGGAGAGGAGGGGGTGTCAATATCACGGGTTACCGATGAAGGGCAAGGAGGGGGAGGGAATGCGGGGCATGTGTCCTCACCATCTTGTTGGTATGATAATGACCTCACCAGGGTTAACCACACGAAATTCTCTTTAAGACTGGCAACAAACAACCAGCGGTGCAGACACGAAAAGAACGAGGGGGTATCAGAAATGGAGCAGGAGATGTCGATCGAGAAGGCAACTTAGCTCCAAGTGGGATGGAAGGATGATGAATGATGGGATGGGAACGGGTTGCCGGCCGCCCGCTATTTTCTTCCCCACCCGCTCGAACCTCCGTTGGCGGCCCTCCAGACTTTCTGTTTCTCACTTTCTTTCCTTTCCCCCTCCCCGCTCGCGCTTGATACTTAGTCCGCCTGAAATCCACTCACTCCGTCCTCCTTTCGTTCCTCTTAACCACCAGCCTCGATGTTCAGTCGACTCAGCCAACTCACCCGTCATCTCACCCGGCCAGCCCTCAACAATCCATCTTCTGCAAGCTCAATTGCTTCCACTCCTGCCTCAGCACTTGGGACTCGGGCTCCATCCCCATCCTTCAATATGACATCATCCGTACTCCCGAAGAACAAACGCACCATCCACACCGCGGCATGCCTGATCATTGGCGATGAGGTACTTGGAGGCAAGGTGAGTATCGAATCCTCATTATCCAGCCCTTCCTATTTCAATCACTGTTCATTCACCACCGCACGCCACCCTCCTCCTCCTCAATTGAAATTCAAGTGGTGTCCATATCCAACCAACCCAACCCGTCTGCGCCGCAAACCCATTTTCACCAACAGAACCACCCAACTAACCACTTCCCTGCAAACCCTTCAGACAATAGACACCAATTCCGCCTTCTTCGCGAAATGGTGTTTCTCGCTAGGCATCCAACTGAAGCGCGTGGAGGTGATCGCGGACGACGAGAGCGAGATCATCGAAGCGGTACGGCGCATGAGTGATCGGTACGACTTTGTGGTGACCAGCGGAGGCATTGGACCGACGTACGTACTGCCTGATAGGCCCTTCCCCAACCACTCCCCCGCAAACCACTTCCAAACTAACAACCCCCCCAAAAGCCACGACGACATTACCTACGCCTCGATCGCGCGCGCCTTCTCCCTGCCGCTCAAACTACACACGCCGGCCTTCGAGCGGATGAAGCTCCTCTCGAAACCGCACCCCATGCAACCGACCTTCGACTGGGACACGCCGTCCGCCAGCCTAACGGCCAAGCTGCGGATGGTGGAGCTGCCGCACGACGCGGCCCTCCCCGAAGACGAGCAGGCCATCTTCGTGGCGGACGATATGTGGGTGCCAATCGCGATCGTGAACGGCAACGTGCACATCCTGCCGGGGGTGCCGCGGCTGTTCGAGCGGCTGCTGGAGCACCTGAAGCCGACGCTGCTGCCGCGGCTGGTCAACCCGGAGGAAGGCAAGGGCATCTACCGGTACCTGTTCAGCACCCCCTTGCCCGAGAGCACCGTGGCCGGCTACCTGACCGAGCTGGCCGCCCGCGTCGCCGACCGCGGCGTCAAGGTCGGCAGCTACCCGCGCTGGGGCAACAAGCGCAACACCGTGACGCTGGTCGGCACCGACAAGGCGCTGATGGACGCGCTGATCCCCGAGGTCGAGCGCGAGGTCCAAGGGAAGAAGGTCGCCCGCGAGGATGAGTTGGATCCGCCCTCCGATGCTGAGGAGGAGAAGTAAAATTCGAAAAAGATAGCGACGCCAAAGATGAGAAAAACGTCTCAGTCAACCCCGTAGCTAGAATTCCGGGGGTATATAGATAAATCCAGTTTGCCGGGAAGGCCCCGGCCCCGTCGGACCGTCCGCTGTGACATCCATGATATCTCCTTATCCAATAGACGATGATATTAGCCAGCTTGACCAGAGTCTCAAATGAACGAGGCAAAGGGCACTCTCGAACCAGTCGTTCAGTCACAGTGACCAAAACTCGGCAAATCCAGGAATCTGCGAAGAAGACAGGAAATCTACACTATACCTTGAATGTGCACACACCAAAGCAAAAAGGACGACGATAGACTTGTTCCGTCACTTGACTAAAGGCACAAGCACATACCGTATCGACCGAGAAATTGAGCCATATGGCTAAGACACCAAGCAGAACGTAAGAAACAGGCAATATTCATTCCTAACACACTTTGAAGAGTCCCATGCCCCGTATCCCCGTACAGCACCGTCTCCGAGGGGAAAAAGATGTACACAAAAAGATATGGCGAATGAGTGGGAAGGGGTCAACATGGGTCGACTGGCAGGAAAATGACGGAGCAAACTAAGCATTAAGCTGAAATGAGGTCGAGGTCGAATCTGCCTGACGACGAGAGGCACGCAGAAGCATCGATGGGAAACGGGCGACGGAAGGACAGGGGGACAGCCCTGGAAAGCCAACAATAGAACAGAATGCTAGCGACAGCAATAGCATATACCTAGATAAAATGCACAAGATCTAACGAACAGGCTCCTTTTCCCACCCCCTCCCCATCCTTTCCAAGATCGAAATATCGTAAAAAAAAAAAAAAGAACCCAGATTGAAAGAAGTGGCCAATCTTGCAAATGAAATAAGAAGTGATAAATGATCAAGAAAAGAGAAGAAAAAGAAAGAAGAAAAAATAGAAGAACAGAGAAACAGAAGGGGAATCGAACGTTCATGGAGAGGATGGCGGCATGAGGGCGGGAGCAGTCATCATCGGGGCGACGAGCCTCATCTGGTATAATAGCACGGTCCAAACGCGTCGACAAGCCACATTCCGCATCACGATGGTGGGTATCGCTGATCTCGCTTCCTGCCGAGGTATAATGTTTTGTTCCTTCCGAATCTCGACATGTGTGTATCCTTTTCAATCCAACGCCTGTTCATTACATTATAATACATTTACAGCACCCTTCACTCTCGCCAGGCTCGCTGACGTCCATCTTGCCCTCGGGGGCGCGGGAGCCGAAGCCGCCTGCCCCGGACGGGTACGAGGACATCTCCTTATTGTACCGACGGATTTCGCGCACGAGGTCGTAGAAAGCGTTCTCAACGTTGATGCGAGACTTGGCGGAGGTTTCGATGAATTTGCAGCCGAACTGCCGTGCTAGCGCCTCGCCCTCTGGAAATGAAGAACATCGCTCGTCAGCTTGCGTCGCAATTAATCACCCTGAACTTGATAACCCACCTTCTTCTGTGACCGCTCTCTCCTTCTCCAAATCGCACTTGTTTCCGACGACGATGATGGGGAAGTAGTCCTTGTCCTTAACTCGTAGGATCTGCTGTTGGAACGTCATGATTTCTTCGAATGACTGACGCGACGTTATCGAGTAGACGAGAAGGAAGCCTTCGCCGGTCCGCATGTATTGTTCGCGCATCGCCGAGTATTCCTCCTGGCCGGCGGTATCTAGAACATCCAACAAAGCGACCTCATCGTCAATGACGCACTGCTTGCGGTACGAATCTGTTACAAGGGAAAGGCTAGGTTAGCTGCGCGATCGGTCGGCGACGGCAAAGCATGGTGGCTGCTCACCCTCAATCGTCGGATCATATTCGTCCACGAAGTGACTCTGAATCAATTGAATGGTCAAGCAAGACTTTCCGACACCACCACCACCGACGACAACTAGCTTATATTCTCGAAGAAACTGAAGGCAATTGTAAGCATTTGTCGTGATGGCGCTGCGTTGCTGCAGGTTCGACGGCGAAGTAGTAAATCGGGGAAATAGGAGGCGGGAAGGAAAGGGAGCCCAGAGACGGGAAACTTAGAACGCGGGAGAAAGACGTACCTTTGAAGCCATCCTGGTAGGCTTTGTTCTGTATTATGCTGGATATGGGGGGTGCAAGGAAGGGGGAAAGAGAAACGGTGATCGTAGCTATCCCAACAGGAGCTGTGACAAGCGGGTCGAAGGAGCAAGCAACAACACAATTTTCTTTGCCAAAGGGTCAAGAGGTCGGGCCCAGGTCGTTGGGAGTTTTGCGCAGCGTAAAGGCGCCTAAAGGGGAGTCCACAGCAACGGCGGGTCTAGTGAACAGGCCAAGCTTAAAGAAGCAGACTGGGGGGTGGGAAGAGGGTCGATAGGAGGGGAGGGATGTGCCGATGTAGTGTGTGGGAGAGAGGATCAGGGGGGTGGAGGGGGCGGTGGTTCGTGGAACTTTGCAGCGGGCGTAATTGAAGATGAACCAGCAGGTGGTCTCCCGGGAAAGCTGCAATTCGTCTGGTTCTAAACCGTCTATGGAAGCAAAAGTCAATAAGGAAGACCTTCGAGAAGTTCGTTCGAGTGGATTCAAATTCAAGGAGGTCAAAAGAAAGGGAGGGAAAGGAAAGATAGGGTGGAGAGATTGAGAGGGGAAAGGGGAGAAAGACAGAGCCCGAGAAGGAAGGAAGGCGATGATTAGGGAGCGGTTAGTTCAACTTGAGGAACGGAGAGAGAGGAAAAAGAGTGGGGATGGCAGGGAAGGACAAGCCCAGACAGAAGGAGTCTAGATAATGAACTGACTACGACTAGTATACCTACTAGTAGAGTAGTAATCGAGGAAGAAAGAGAGCATGAGCAATTAATGTAGAAAATAGTTAATCATCATCATCATCATCATCATCGTCATCATCGTCATATCATCTCCAACAAGTAGATTAGTTACCTAAGGTTCAGATCTGGAAAGGATAACTGTAGCGACCGTGGGGACAGAGACATTGACATTGACCCTATTCCGAGTCAATCACTACGACTAGGAGTCGGACTCTACACTAACTACTAGGTAACTAGAAGAGTAGAAGAGATTGGAAATGAGGTTGCTGCTGATTGGGGTAAGTTGTAGAATAATTATCGCATCCTCCCTTCAATAAATAATAATTAAGAAAGGGGGGAAGGAAGAGAACGAGCGAGAAAGAGGATGATGGGTGGATGGGTGGGTGTGGCATTAACCGGCGACGCGTGTGGTTCAATCCAGCCCAGCCAAGACGGTGTTTAATTATTATTTAATCGGGCGATTGGTCCACTGGGAATAATTACTCTCTCTCGCCATCATCGCATCTAGCTGCCTTTCGTCATTGTTAACATTTGGACAATAAGAATAGGAAAAGGAAAAGGAAAGGCAAACGCAATCAGCTCAACTACAATTTAATGCCTCTTCCTCGTCATTGCTCGAGATCCCCAGTCTACATGGTAAATTGTCAAAGATAAAGCTCAGAATCACAGTCCGTGATTGGAAAGAAGAGAAACAGGATAGGCGATCGCAAGTGGAGGCGGAAGGCAAGGCAAGAAAATTAGGGCCGTGGGCAGTCTCTGCAACGAGCATCAATTGGTGGTGGCATGGTACGAAGGAGTTGTCCAAGGAGCCTGGAGGGAAAAAGGGGTTGCCGAATCAGTCACATCACAATCTCTTTCCATTGAACGGAAGCTAAATACCATAAACCCTCGCCTTACTGCAATAACACCAGGTAATAAGAAACCTGATTGAGTACGGAGACTACTACCTTTCTATCTCGCTCCTTAAGGTTGCCATCCCCGGCTGATGCCACAGAGCCATCAATCTTGACTGAATCGCTGTGCCCTTGATCCAAAGACATTTTGGTCCATCTCAAGACCGGCCATAGATTAATCTCACCAGTTCCACCTCTTAGCGCCGGTCGATAAAAGTTTCTACACACTAAATCGTCCAGAGGCCCCATCGGGTCTCCCCTGAGGGTCTCCAACCACTTAACTCAATGCCTTGAGCGACCTCGTTATGCGCAACTCGGAAAACAAACGGATAGCTTTCAATCCCCACAGCCAATCACGCTGCTGTCAGCTTGAGCAATTGTGACCCTCCTGGTGTCTACGTCCCGCTCCGACTCCTCCGTTAAGCTCCTCTCGCGCAGGGTGCAAGGGCTGCAAGTCAGACTCGGATATCCCCCGTTCCAACAGAGTCAGTCGGTTCGCTGTAGTGATTGATGATGACGATGAAGGCCGCACAGGGGGATCGTTCTCGGACAAAAGATACGTCCGTGGAAAGTAGTGACCTTCAAGAACTCATCAAAAAAAACCTTTTCTGGAAGCAATGTCGGCTCCACGGAATGACAGGCACTGCAATTGACAGCTCCATCCAGACGCGTAGGCTTAACTTACATCATAGGCGTGGATGTTGAGTGTTCCGGCTTCCTGGGAGTTCTTGGCACCATCTCCAATACCACTCTACTCAGCACTCGGTTAGTTAGTCTACAGTGTCACAGTGACACTGACGGTCTGGAGTCCTCGGACAGAGCCTCAGGCCGAGGGTGAGAGCTCATGTTTCTCCACACCTCCACTTGTCAGCTCACATCTCATGGGAAACATCTCATCATATGCAACGGCTGGTAAGATCAGTACAGAATCTCGGTAGCCTCGGAACCCACCCTCGGATGATAGAAGGCCAACAACCCTGGTTCCCTCCTGATGCTCTCGATGCCGTCATAAAAGAACGTCCTAGATCGGAACGCTTTCAGTACGCCGGTGGCATTGAATATTGCCCTATGTCAACTGTAGTCAAACTATCAACCCCAGTTTGCCATCACAAATGTCTTGGCCTGCACTCGCCTCGATACATGCACAGACAGTACAATACAAGTTTATCCGGACTACCTATCTTCCGGCCTTCCCCGCGCAATGATATACATCAACTCACTATCCTATAAGATGCATGATCCGAGAATTTACCAGTCACACTTCAAACCATGTGCCGGGAACGTCAAGTCCATCAATCACCCAAATTAGCTTTCTGGAGCACATCCCTCTTCCTCTCTCCCCTGCTTGGCATCGACGTGCGTGGCTATAGAGAACAAATCAACCCATCGGAATGCAGACCGATCTCTCCGACCACAGGCCTCTCTCTCTCTCCTTCGGTCGTCATCCACTCACCGCAACATTCACAGGCTTTTTCCCGTTCACTGACAACACCACCGGCGCTTAGCAACTGCTTATCATCCTTTCTTTCAGGCTCCATCGCAACGCTTTGGACATGACTCAGTATTCGTGGAAAAGGACCCCCGCGCGTTCGCAACGACATGGACGAGTGGCATCGACCACGGTCGCGACCGGTCTTTATGGCACTGAAGGGCAATGTGAAGGATGTCGGCAGTAGGAACATATCACCACCCGCGACCCGTCCAACGATACCTATGCAGCGACACAAGAATAGACCCACAAGCTCACAACACTTATGACAGGAATCAGGATCCTTCGGAGCAGAACCATCGGCTAGATCGATGTCTTGACAATCCTTTTTGGCCGAGCGGTGCAACGCTCTCATCAACCTAACAACTTATCCCATATAGTTCAAACCAACGAAGTCAAACCACAGCAACAGCCTTCCAACCACCCAAGCAAAACCCACTGCATCGAGATTGACATAAACTTAGCAGCACCCCCGAACTCAAAAACCACCAACAACAACCGTCTTATCCCGCCCGGCTCAGACATATGCACACCATACGGTAACATATGTATCCCAATGATCGACAAAACAGACCCAAAAAAAACCCCCCCAACGTCTCAAGCACAATTGCCCTTTATAAATCACAAACCAGAGTAGCGGTTGACGGGTACAGTAGTTACACAGCAGGTCTAGACCGCCATTCTCTCCTGGGTCGAGATTTGAGATTCGACCCAGGCAATAATTGCTTCTTCTTGTCTCTGTGTCTTGGCTCCCATGTCATATGCAGGGGAAAAAATCAAATCGGTCGGAGCTTGAAGCGTGAGGGGCCGATGAACTGACATGTCAATGTTTCTGGATACGTCTGTTGTGGTAACTGGTTGGGGATTAGGGTCTGGATATTGGTTTTTCTGTGACGCAATGGGGGTTCACCTGGGGTTTATCATATGAGCTCATCTCTGGGGGAGACGGGGGGGTTTGTAGGGCGAGAAGGCGGGGGATGGAGATTGATGTTTTGGGGTTATTCGGGTTTGATATCTCTTTACTTGCTGTTCTTGTTGGGGAAAGATTGATGAGGGGCGTAGAATATGGTAAGTATATGCATCAAGTAAGATTTGGGGATTTGTTCATCTCCCTCTCGTCGGTCAGCAGCAGAGGGGAGTTGAAGCAATCGAGATGATCAGGCTGAAAATTTAAGCGCTGGTTGATCCCCATCTAGAGGGCGTGCCGAGTGATGTTTTCATTCTTCTGAAGTCGGCAGCCCTTCATGATTATCAATCTAGAAATAGAAACCACGTGCTTTTGCCAATTATTGGTTCTAAGTCATAGGCCCAAATTACGGAGTACCACTGGACCTCAGCCCTTCTTGAGGGGGTTATGTGGATGCGGAGAATGACCCGTCAACGGGCAAATTCATACACCCCAAAAAGGTAGATAGATACCGGTACACAGCACATAGACTACCCGATACTTCTTGGCTAAGCTGGAGGACGGTTCATTGTGATTCTATTTCAACCAGCCGTTATCTATCGTGTCCAGACAGTAGCAGGTACCCTGCCTTTATATACTTCAATTCTATCGATCATGCATATCACTAAGCCTTGCGGTGCATGATTCCCGGAGAAGCCTGGTGAAGGATGCGTCAGCGCTTGTCATCTGGGTCCCCAAGTTCCATGAACTTACCTGGTGGCTGGGGAAGATCAGCGTATCCGCGATCACAACGTTCTCGCGCCGACCAGCGGCAAACACAACAACTTCAGCGATGTCATCGGGGGTGAGGGGTTCGCAGCCACTGCAACAGAGCACATTAGTATGTCCTTGATTCCATTTGTGCAAATAATCTCCAGCGGGGGATGTCATACGCGTAGACTGCATCAGCCTTCTCCTTGTCACCGTAGAATCGCACCACGGA